TTTTTTTTTTGGCATCCGCATTTTTTGAAAACACCTCACACTTCTGCAAAAAACATGAATTCATTTCTTAAAAAATACAGGTAAACTCACGGACCATATATCTCATGATAAAAAATGACCAAAAAAAATTCCTGCTTTTCTTTGTATGTATATTTTTTAATTTTCTTTAAATCCAATTTCGTTTTTGTTTTTTTAAAAATCCTAAATAAAGTCGGATTCAAAAAAAATATATATGGGGTTGTAGGGCTCAAAATTCCCTACAACCCCATATTTTTTATTTTATTTTTACCTATTATTTAATTCAGGAAAATTCGTGTAAAATCGGGTCCGCTGTGCGGACCAGGTAGGCCACGGATGCGGACCCATTTGGGTCCGTGATCCGAGCTCGACCCTGTGGACGCGTCCGCGGGTGTTTCCTTGCGCTGAGGTCGATAAGTGCCGCAGTGCTGCGAGGAATGGTACCATCTACTTCCCAGCAACCAGAGGTGGTTTTGACGGAGAATTCTCACCTATTTCCAAGCTCGAGAAAGGCAAATGTCCTAACAAGCCGCTCTTGCATCAGAAAGGCATCCCAAAGTTTCCGGCTGGCCTCTCCGAACTTAAGAAGCTCTGGAACGCAGGGAGGCCTTATCTGAAGTGCGTTTGCCTCGGATGCGAGCAGAATTTCACTTGGTTCAGCCACATGATCTGGTACATCATCGGGAATTTCGACAAGATCGACCCGCTTGCTCCATCCGACAAGATCAGGATGCTTGAATTCCAAGCACTCCTACGTACAACATGGAGAAAGGCCATTCTTGCGCAGATCTCCTTCGTCTTCATGAGAGRGTACATRATCAAGAYTGTGAACCTCCTCATMGAGAACAGAAGGATTTYTGCAGCAGAAATRCTGGAGTACGAGGACTTCAGATACGTTCCATTCGTACACAAGTTCACGGCCGTGCTGCTACCTGGCGCCGAAGGCTTACTGTCGCAAACTGCAAACACGCGGCGCAATGCCGATGCTGAAGACAACTCGCTTAGAAGGTGTAGGCAAATGAGGCTCGGTTGCACTCCTTCCTCAACTGCGCCGCTCACCACACCAAACCAAACAACCGGTAACACTCCAGTGCACACAGGACCATCCGGCTGCATTCCTGGTTCCACGCCTGCAGCCACCAGCACGCCTTGCCAAACTAACACCACTAGAACGCCAACTGTAACCAACGCCTCTGCTACCGCTGCACGCACTACATTGCCGCACTCCCACAGCCCCGCACCACCGCACGGCGCACTTGCCACTACACCATCCCCGTTTGCGCCACTCACCACTCCGATCCAAGCAACCAGCAACACACCAATACACACAGGACCCTCCAGCAGTACGCCTGTTGGCACTCCCGCATCCTTCGGCATGCCTTGTCAAGTAAACATCACTAGAACACCGGCTGCAACCAACGCCCCCGCTACCGCTGCGCATTCTGCAGCACTGCATTCCCATAACTTGACACCACCACACGGTACATCTGCTAATACACCTTGCCATAACACAACTCCCGCTGACTTAAACACCTCTGCAAACGCTGCCCCCCACTCCAATGCGAACCACAGCATCACAGCTACACCCCAAAGACCCGTCCCTACTCCTAACGCAGGAACCCCGAGCAGGCCGTTTTCAGGTAACCACATGAGGGTCCAAACATCTGGCAATGTACTCGCTAACGCTGCAGCTCAGCTTGCCGCACGACGCACGAACACTATCCCTACTGACAACATTTTTTACACAAACATCCCCACTGCCGCACCTCCTACGACAGCACAAGCCAACGCGACAGGAGATATCTACTCTCTGTTCATGAATAGTTCGACCGCACCACGCACAACAAACAAAGAACCAAACGCTCAACCAGGATTCGCTGCCTCGCTCCCTCCACACCTCACTGCGTACATTAATAACCACAACAGCACAGCAGACGCTGACATCGAAAGACAGGTACGCCGACAAGAACTGCTCCTTAGCACTGCTATGAATCACCTCCCAGCGGAACTGAAAAAGAATCGCAGAAGAGGTAACAAAACACAAAGAATCCAGACAGCACAAGCAGGAACACTAAACAAGAGGCAGACGAGGAGGAAGAGGGTGCAGTATGATGGGAGGCAGCCAGATATCCATGATGCTTTCCTGGCACAACAACAACGATAGGCTATGCCTTTGGCGCACCAACAGTCTTTTGCCCTGGAGGCCGGAGCAGCAACAGCAGCTCAAGGACAAATCGCTCCTATGACAGTCGCAAGAACTGACCAAGTATGGGCACTGCACGCAAACAACATCCTAGCACAATGGACAATGAAGGATAGGAACACAGTCCAACGCTCCTCGGTACAGCAGGAGGCAGCAAACTACGAGGTCATTCAAGTGAGCAGCTGCGACAACAATGACGAAGAGGGAAGGCTACATCCGATCACAATCAGCTCTCCGTCGCCAGACACCCCGATGCGCCCTATTTCTGCCATCGACGCTCTGAGAACAAACTACGGAGCTAGCAACGCAGACTCTTCGCTGCTCAAAACAAACAGTGGAAGCATGACACACTTGAACGATTCGCAATCTTCGGATGGGACCTGTAAACGTGTATGTCGTAGGCTTAGCCCGGACTACCAATCCAAGTTTCCTAGTATCACGAGAGGCTAGCTTGGTAGGAGAAATGCAACAGGTCACAGAACAAGAGCTGTTCTTATGAGCCCCCTGGTCTGAGTACCAGGTTTAGCAACAACGATTGAGCTGATTGTAGGTTCAGGCCGGTATGGACCGAATACTATGGATTAGCCTACTATCAAGACAATGTTTTGATTATAACCTTCCAAGGTCTTTACTTTTACTCTCTTATTTTTTATTTTTTATTTATTATTTATTATTTAGTTTCTATTTATTATATAATTCTTTTGATACCCTGCCCATCCTGTGTCCATACGCTGCTTGGTGTTCTAGCCTGCCAAAAAAATTCTCTTTTTTCCCCTCAATCGCAGTCAATAAGCAGGCCATCCGACTTAAGACATTGGATTTTCAAAAAAAGCAGGCAGCGCTCTCACTTTCCGTATAATTGAATTTTTGGAATTGCCTGTGTTCTGCGAGCTACACCAAGATTACAAAATATCTGCTTTCTATGGACCTGGTTGAAGTGTTACCTTCTTGGGAACTACTCACCCCCCTGTCACCCAGAGTAATAATAATGAACACTTAGTATGGCACTACTTGCCTTGTATCTCTCTCCTGCCCTGAGCATAGTAGCAAAACCGGTACACCACTTAGATTTCGCAGTTTGACAGTTCTTTCTCAGTTTTATTACTCCCTTACATAAAAACAATGTTGTTTTCTCTCCGGAGACCTCCGGACTAAGTGTTTCCTTTCTCTGATCATCGGAAACTTATCCGATCACCCTCGCAAGCGCACTCTACCTCTGTACCACACTTCGCTATTACCCCTCCATATTCAAATGTTGTAAAAGTTTTTCCTACTTCAAAAGGCTCCCTCTACTAAGGCCCCTGCCCACATTAACGATATGTCTGGTAATGTGCAGGTACATCGACTCCAGCCAATGGAAGACGAAAGACAAGGATGGAGATTGGGAAAGGAATCGAACAAACAGATTATCACATGCCACTACGCAAACCGACTCATGGATCGAATCAAATTTAAAAATATCCTTAATAAAATACCAGGATGCCGCTCACGTTCTAGACAAATTCACGTTTTCATGGACTTACAATGACCATATAGCTAAAGCACTCGACAAACCTGCTGCAGTATTTCGTGACTTTGAGCTTGCGGCATGGATAGAACAGTTCTCAGAAAGATTTTACTGCCAACAACCAAGACACCAAGCTTTTTTAAACACACTTCCTGAGGGCATGCTCCCCGGAGAAGAACCTCCTCACGTCACTACCCTAGATCTAAACATCTGCAGCAACATTGAACTTCGTAATATGTTGAAAAAAGGACTCAATCATATCCCTCCTGCTCCTCTAAATACACTTGACGTTGGTGCTGCTGCGAACCAAGTCTGGACACAGTTTACGTTAGCACTCCAAAAAAATGGCACACCGTTAAGCTCTCTAAAAAAAGCACAGGCAAAGGCGGATTTTGATAAGGCTATCGAAAGCAATCTCGAAAATGTAGCAACCCACAGAGTAGTGAGCTTGAACGATCACGCCATCAAGAATGAAGTTGTTTTCCTAACCAAACACTTCTACATTTCCGGCACTGACAAAGGCCCCAACACCCCTGTCGTCTCCTACATCAATCTGGAAAGATTTCTTGCTTTACAAAGACTCACCAACCCGGATTTTGAGAAACATATGTCTTCTGCTGCCGAGCTACTGGACATCATGAAACTGCAGATGACAATGAGGTTTCCAGACATCCCCATAGGTAAAATAGAGTTGTCTTATCTCTTTGCAACATATAAAAAGCACAAGAATTCTTTTCGCTGGCTAACCAATGCTGCAGACGTTATAACCACACCCTTGGCTGATCTAGCAGCTGCCATCCTTGCTGCACTCATCCCTATAGTGAAGACCCACTGTGGCACTGTTAGCCTGCAGATTGTACCAAAGCAAAGGGAAATGGACACCCCTCTGCGACTGGTATAACAGCCCACCCAGCGGATTCCTTACTATTAATGAGAGCATTGTTCAGGAAATCAACAATTGGTTAATCAATAATGCCTTCACCTCCCTAGGAGGAAGCATCTGGAGACAGATTCTTGGCATTCCCATGGGTGTGAGCTGCTCACCGGTTTGGTGTAACACTTATTTCATTAAGTATGAATACAATTTTATGAAGAAAATGACACACAAAAACAACCAAAGCCTGTTACATCTGTTCCAACACGTGTTTCGGTACTTTGACGATTTCCATGTTCTAAACAACCCAAGGATCCATGAGTTCCTAAATCCCAAAATCACCAGCCCACGCAGCAGATATTTTCTTTATCCCCTACATCTGATTACCATAAACGAGCAAACCACGAAAAAAACACAAATGGATGACAAGCTCATCGGAACTCAAGCGAACTTTTTGAACACCACAATAACTATCACAAATCAAGAAAATGGAGTGTTCATCACAAACAAATACGATAAAAGAAAAGAACTTGGCTTCCCTATCACACGATTAAAAAAAAAAAAAATTAAAAAATGAATTTTTGAATAAGCCAGAAAAGTAGTTCTTGGAATTAGTTACGGCAAATAGAGCTAACCGAAACCTCTGAAACTAAGCACAACAAAATGACATTGAAAGCCAAAAACCAATAAGTTTTCTTCCCAGAGACATCCGCGGGCAGCTAGAAATGAATTCACTCCACTAGAAAATAATCCAACTGTCTCTGTTGACCCCCGCCGGGAACCTGCTGCACCTATAGGCAAATCAGGTACGCATAACCACCCTTTATCAGCGCACCATTAACACTCTATGCTGCAGTTATGGGTTTACTCGCCCTTCGCAGTTCCAGTAATTCTCGCATGATTTTCTTTAGTCCTTGTGCAATAACCTTTCGCCCTCACAGAAACAGACCGATTTCCCCTACGAATACGACAACAACATAATACACCACACCGAAACGACACAGGCGATAGGCAAAAGACAAGCGCCCACGGCGACAAGACGGAAACGAAACACGACGAATCCATGTGCCCCCATAGCCAGTACTTCCCACCAGCAACCAAGAAAAAACACTACAACTACACATGAACTCGCGAAGTAGGACAGGGCATAAGACAAAGTTACTYCGTCCTATACTRACRACCACGCGTCACGGATGTTTTGGCTGGAGCCCAGTATCTGCAAGATATCCCCTCAGCACACAGTTTTTCGCAGAACAACACACGCAGCTGCAGACCCACTCACCTTTCTGCTCCTACATGYCGACTGCTACAGCTATGGATCCGGAAAACGCTTACAAGTTACTACCCCTTGCCTCTGCCGCAGATGCCCTTCCATGAAGCACCCCTACCCTTGCCCAATACCCTTCTGCATACAATTTTGGAACCTCTACTCGTTCCCCCCTTCATCATTGCCTGGTTACGCTTGGCTCACACTCTGGCCAGCTCCACTGTACAAACACCAACCGCACAACCTCTGTCCCCGTCTTGCTACGGTATGCATTTTGATATACAACTACGTATGCACCCGCATGAATGCTCGCACGGATGCGCTACTGTGATAGCATGTCCACTCTCTCTCATCCCACAACGCAACAGCAGTCCCCCCATTTTCTCTCGCCGTAACATTTCTGATCGGCTGAGAAGACAAAGGGTACCGGGCTTCTGACTGACGCGTTGCGGTGCATTACGCACTGTGCGCACGTCGTGAGCTACTGATACGTCGCTACGAAGACCAGTTCTCCATGGCGGCGAGTGACATTCCGGCGACACCGGCTATGACCACCCAGGTAAGGCTGGCTAACTCCATACCCGACTTCCCCTTTATTTTCCTTCTCCCCCCTCCCCATCCCCCGTTCTAACAGGAGCAGTGTTTCGTTAACCCCTCTGATGAGCCGCTATGGGTGCTAAGAGGCGAAAAGGGCGCTTAATGG